TAAAAAGTCTTAAATTTAACTTGTTCATATCTGTAGACACCCTGTTCTTTTTTCTGTTTTTCCCCAAGGCCCACATATAATATGTCAAGGTTTTATGCATCAAAAACAACCTCTTTGCATTTGAAATGAGTAACAATGCTTGCATATGAAACTATTAATTGGATCTGTTTTATCAATTTGATTATGCTTTCATTTTCAAGCTCAGTATAGTTGCTGCTGTCCTGTCCTCGCAAAGTCTGCTTTATATTTCCTGACATCATCAAGGACTTATTTGTATGCTGTATCCTGATATCACCAAGTCCATTATATCCATGTTAATAGGCAGCCAATCAATCTCTCTATGAAGGTTACTCAGTGAAGGCCGTGTTAGTGTTTGTCTTTAAACAGCACATATTAAGTGTTCAGCTGTATTGTCACTGAGTTGAAGCATCTTTTTAGAGTGTCCAGCACTTGTAGCTGTTTCTTTTTATGACAATTTTACTTGAAAATGCTGTTTCTAAGGCCATTAGTCATCAATTAAAATTAAAATTCATTTTTTTAATAAAAGTTTTTTAATACTTTCTTCTGTCCCACCAAACAAGTCTCTAAGGAGGTTGGTTTGTAGTTTGTAGGTTAGAAGTAATTTTTAGGTTGATTGCCATGAGTTTACTGTGTTTAAAGGAATAGTTCACCCAAAAATAAAATGTTGCTGAAAATGTACTCTCCCTCAGGCGATCAAAGATGTAGATGAATTTGTTTCTTCTTCAGAACAGATTTGAAAGAATTTGACATTACATCACTTGCTCACCAATGGATCCTCTGCAGTGAATGGGTGCCGTCAGAATGAGAGTCCAAACATCTTATAAAAACATCACAATAATCTACAAGTAATCCACAAGTAATCCAGTCCATCAGTTATTATCTTGAAGTGAAAAACTGCATGTTTGTATTAAACAAATCCATCAATAAGATGTTTTTTACCTAAAGGCCATTGCTTCTAGCTGAAATACAAGTCCTCTATCCATAATATTGCTTTTAATATTGCAAGCAATGACTCTCATTCTGACGGTACCCATTCACTGCAGATGATCCTTTGGTGAACAAGTGATGTAATGTTTCATTTCTCCAAATCTATTTTTAAAGAAACAAACTCATCTACATCTTGGATGGTTTGAGGGTGAGTAAATCTTCAGAAAATTTATATTTTTGGGTGAACTATTCTTTAAACATTGCTCTGATTTTGCATCTTTAACCGCTTGGCATAGCAACAAATTTCCAACCAGTGATGTGAGTTTTAAGCAGAGTTTATTCAACCAATGGCAGACAAGGCATGTTTAAGAAACCTTTTTGGGAAGAGTTTTTGCTTTTCTGTTCAGAAGCATAGAAACTCACTTTTGTGTGCTAAATTTAGAGTGTTTCACGTCACGTAATTCACTTCAGGCTGTATATTGCATATGTATTTAATTAGTGTCTGGCCTGGTTCTTTCTTTGTTCGTTTCCTGTGAAGAAATGAACCGTTAAAGAAACCTTTTTCTCTTCCATTGTTTAGGTGAGAACATGTTTCTACACTTTTAGTGAAGTGCAAGGTAATGTGCGCTTAAAGGTAACCTTTATTCAGCACTGACCGTGGTTGTTGTGCCCTGCTGCACAAATGGCAGAAATGCTGAGGGGGTGGTGACACTGTACATGACTCATTGCTTTTTTTATGGTTATTCAGTGTTTCGTGGAAAGCCTATTTCTGCTTCTTAGAGTACCTAGGCCATTTTAGTCCTGGTTACGTTAATAATTCATGAATGGCGCAATCATCACAGTGATATCCGAGGATGGAGAATATCAGATTACTTCAGGAAACTTACTGGCATCTGTTGATGAGCCATTCATGATGGTTTAGTGACCGAAATGAGTAAAGTGCCGAAGTGCTGCACAAAAATGTCAACAAACCTTTTATGTTTAGCCTTGGCATCTATATATAACTGCCTAATGTCTTTAGATCTATACTTGCAAGTGTGCCAGTAACTGGCCTAGTCATTTATTAGACACACATTTACAATAACAACACACTATAGTAAGATGAGCTAGTAATGATTGCTTGTATATTTTCTGTGTAAATGGTTGGAGTGGGGATATATATATATATAGTTTTGTGACCCCCTGCAGAGCGAATGGGTGCCATCATAATGAGAGTTGCAATATTATGGATATAGAGGACTTGTATTTCAGCCAGAAGCAATGGTTTTTAGTTAAAAATGTCTTATCGGTGGATTTGTTCATTACAAACATGCAGTGTTTCACTTCACAAGATGTTACTTGATTGACTTGAGTTGTATGGATTACTTGTGGATTATTGTGATGTTTTTATCAGCTGTTTGGACTCTCATTCTGATGGCACCCATTCACTGCAGAGGATCCATTGGCATATACACACACACACTGTATTTAGTAGAAGTAACTATCACTTAAAGGCTTGCAGGGCTAAAACAATGGGACACTGCCCAGAAAAGTTGCTTATATAGGGCCATGCCCCAGTCTTAATTCTTGCTGCTCAGTTTCATTAATGTGTTGAGAAAACTGAGAAGTTTTCTTCACTTGTGAGTTGTGACAGGATGGCTTACAGTTCAGTTCCTTTTATAAAGCTTGCTAATTAGTTGCACTTCTCATGGTAATTACGTTGATGTCAAAGGATGAGAAATTTAAATGACTGGGAAAACAGCCAGTTACCACAGAAGCTCGAGAAAGATTCACCCTGTTGAGGACTTGTTGTTGGGAGAGTTTAAGGAGCCAGTCAAGTGTTTGATGTTTAAGTATCTCCCACCCATATGCGATTACCATATTAACCAAGTAGTATTATTGCTGTAACACCTGTCTGGTGCCGGGATGGCCTCAGTAACCTTTGTGCAAGTTCTGAAGAAATGCATTTCATTTTTTGTTATCTACAAGAATAGAGGTGCTGCAAGTAGCATTTTTTTTCATCTCTAGTTCGTCCTTGGGAATCTTTTAGGGAGCAAGTCTTTGTCTCTGAAATGCAGCATTATCTGTCTTATCTGTCATCTTTTAGTAATGCACATGTTTCTCCTTTGTGTAGAGAGGTGGTTTAGTCAGAAATTTTTACTTGAAACTTTTGAAACCTTAAGTTTTATCAGTTTGATCTCATGAGGAAAAAAAGTGGCTATGCATATGCAAGAACAGAATATGTTGCCCATACTAAACATGGGTTTTATTTTCTTCAGTACAGAAGAGGTTTTAAAAGGCTTAAAAACATTTTTTAACGCTTCACATGAAACCTGCAGCAATTTGTATGCAATGTCACATTGTTCCCCCGAGACCATGTGGAGTTTTATGGACTACTACAACACTTTTATGTTGTGCTTTACAGTCTTCTGAGCAGAGTATGTGAGCGGAGCGCGGAGTGGAGCGGTGTGATTATGACTGGAGTGAGGAGCGGATTTTTTAAAAGTCGGAGCGTCGTGGTTTTCACTCGCTCCAAGAGCGCTCCACCACCGCTCCATCACGAGTACAGTTCATGCCAACAGCCCGTAATATAACTGCATATTTAGTAGGGGTGCAACGGTTCTCGGTAAAAAAATCGAACCGTACCGTTCTCCACACACGGTTCGGCATACACTAGGACCACGGTTCAACTTAAATCTGACAATGCATCTGTAATATGGTTTGTTAGAGTTCAGCTAATGCATGTTTCTGTTGATGGATACAAATTCTGGCTTCCCAATACATTACAACAAGAGCGATGAGAGGTGCCATCATCACGTGTAGATAGCGCAGGTGAGACCTGAACAGCACAGGTTGCTATCTATGTTTAAACTAAACTCATTTAAGCCTTGCCCGTTTAAATATTAAAGAGCCAGAAGACGTGAACTCGCGCGCGCAGTGTGAAGATCTGTGTGTGCGCTCATCCGAAGTGTGTGAACCCGCGTCGAAGAACACGCGCAAATATTAAGCTCTCTGTGAAGCAGCAACAACACGGAAATTTCTCACTGCTCTTGATTTAATAACTTTTGTAACTTTAATAAAGATTAATCTTTAATTTATACAGTCAAATATGCAATGTTATTTTACATTTGATTTATTCAATTTCTGTACCTAAAAACTATGTTAGACCGACCTAAAAAAAAAAAACTGCAAAGTTTATTTT